GAATGCCAAGAAGTCCGGAAAGCACCGGTCATTCCTCCAGAAAACCCTACCGGTCAAGTAGGGCGGCAGTGGTCGGGCACCTATTGTTCGTACCACAGGTCTGATTCCCATAACACCTCCGAATGCAAGAGTGTTAAAGGGGTCATCCGGCAGATGATCGACAGTGGAGAGCTGGGCAAAGATTACTTGCAGAAAGCCAGGAGAAGAGTCATCAGTGGGTTAGGCCAACTGCCCCAGGGAATGACCGGGACAATGACCGGCGGAGGAATAACCGGCCAAGGGAGCGGCAACCTGCCCCCGAAAAGGAACAGATCGGCATGATCTTCGGCGGACCCGAGGGTGGAGATTCAGCCGCGCAGCGGAAGAACTGGGTCCGGAGCATTTACGTCGGAGAGGTAAGTGCTGAACCGCCCAGGCGTAAGCATACTAGGAGGGAGCCTATCGTCTTTACTGACCGGGATCTCCCTCCTACCGGTGAAGATCACAATGATCCATTGGTCATCACCATGGACATTAATGGGGTGGATGTCGCCCGGGTGCTTGTTGACACCGGTAGCAGTGTCAACATCTTATACCTGGAGACCTTCCAGAAACTCAGGTTGTGTCGAACACAACTTGAACCCCTCAAAACCCCTCTCTCAGGCTTCACGGGTGACACCGTTGAAGCTGAAGGATCCATAGTTCTACCGGTCGAACTAGGATCAGGTGAAAAGACCGTGTGGAAGAAGATGCGGTTCATAGTTGTGGACATCAAGTGCGTCCACAACGCAATCCTAGGAAGGCCAGGCATCAATAAGGTCGGAGCGGTGATTTCCATGCCTCATCTATGCATGAAGTTCCACACTCCAGGTGGTGTAGGTGAGGTGAAGGGCGACCAGAGGAACGCCCGGGAGTGCTATGCCCGGGCAGTCAAGAAAATGACCAGGGGGGTCAATGTCATCTCCCAAGAGATCACAAAGGGAGAGACCCGGGAGAAACTGGAGCCCGAGGCTGAAACGGTGGAAATCGAACATCACCCGGGTGATTCTTCGAGGATGGTCAGAATTAGAGCAAATCTCCCCGAGGATCTCAAGGATCAGATTACACGGGTCCTCCAAGAATACGCGGGCATATTCGCATGGAGCGTGGCGGATATGCCCGGGATAGATCGCTCTGTTATCTGCCACCGGTTGGCCGTGAGGGAGGGAAGTCGACCGGTACGCCAGAAAAAGCGGTACCTGGCCATTGACCGGCGAGACTTCGTCAAGAAGGAAGTGAAAGACCTCCTCAGTGTTGGTCACATCCGGGAAGTCAAGTACCCGGATTGGCTGGCCAACGTTGTCCTTGCTCCCAAGGGCGACACGTGGAGAATGTGTGTGGATTATACGGACTTGAACAAGGCTTGTCCGATGGATTCATACCCCCTCCCCAGTCCAGATCAAATGGTGGACGAAACTGCGGGGTGCGAACTCCTAAGTTTCATGGATGCCTTCAAGGGTTACCACCAAATCTACATGGCCAAGGAAGATGAAGAGAAGACATCATTCCTCACACCCGAAGGAACCTACTGCTACCGGGTAATGGCGTTTGGCTT